TGATGCACATCTCACGTCATGGCTCCAGTATTTTCCATATACATAGCATGTTAGAATATGCATTGGCTGGTGCTTAATGAAATGGTCAGACGTTGCCTGGACACTGTCTCATGCCACTGAGAGCTTGCCAGGTGAACCTTGTGTGTGCATTCGTGCTTGATCCCTTCATTAAGCTCCTGCCGGTCCTAATTTTTGTGTATGCATGTTAGATGTCTGTTCAAGTAGGTATAAGCAAAGTGGTCCCAGGATCGGCTCCAATGCTTTGTAATTTGTTTGTGTGTTTGTGTGTGTGCACGTGTTGGTAGTATATGTTTGTGCTGGCGGTCAGAGAGGGCGCCTGGGAGGACTGGTGTTTGATTGGCGCATGCCGCCGAGATCTGCTCCTTCCTGTTAGCATACGCATCACTTCCTCTCACCCTGCCCAGAGCTACTGCCTCGCCATCTCACAATCACTCTGACATGATTCCTTTCCTTCTCCTTATTTTTTCTTCTTCTTCTTTTTCCTCTTCCACCCTCCTTCATGCCTCTTCTCTTGTCTCTACTGTCCTTCTTACTCATTGTGTCGCTGTCCATCATTGGTTTAAATGCCTCCTGATTCTCTGGTCCCATCACTCCTTTTTTAAAACTTTTTCTCTTTTCTACATTTCTTCCCATCTTACCATAGTACTGATTTCCCCTAAAGCCCCTCTCACTTCACTCACTCTCCCTGTTGACTATTAGAAGGCCACTTTTGTTTGAACAGCATGACTGCCATTTCATCATCTTCATCTCCCATTTCTTCACCTGTTACCCCCTCAAAAAAAATCAACACTTTCCGCAACCTATTTATCTTTCTCTATATTCAGTCTCAAAGCAATCGCTTACCCTCGTCCCTCTCTTCCTCATCCCCTTCTTTCCCTCCTCCTCAGCTGCTCTCCCTGAAGACAGAGCAGGGGCAGCCAGGCAGAACAGCCAGCATGTTCGCATGTTCCCTTACTCCAGCTCTGCGGCTGCAGCAGCACTCTTAAACCTCTCTGCTCTCGCCTTACACCACCTCCCCTTCACTCCACCCTACATGCTTTCCTTACGCATTCTACACAGCATTCTCTTTGTGACTTTTTAATTTCTTGTGTCTTCTAACTTTGTTAATTTTCCATTCACCTCCTTCCTTCCTTCCCTCCTTCCTTCCTTCCATTATGCTTCACTTCACCCTGAGCCTCCATTCATTACCCCTCCAGGCTTTTCTCTGGCCTTACCCATCTCCTCTATCTTCTCGCACCCTTCTTAACATTCCTCGAGGCCATTTGTTTCTCTTCCTGTCTCAAATCTTCATTTCATTCCCGTTCTACTTCTATCATTACCAGTATGGCTTATCAGCTTTCTTCTTTCCTTTCATTCTGATGGTCTTGTTTTATTTTTATGCACCCTGTGATTCCCATCATCTTTTCATTGCTTTCTTCAACACTTTTTGTTAGTGTGTTCACATGTGTTCATCCTGCCATTTTCTTGCTTTGCCCATCAGCCATGGCAAATCATGTAGAGAAGAGTTTTGCGGTAAGACTGGCTTAGTTTAAAAAAGAAGTTAGACATTTTCAGTTAAATAAATAGACTTATTGAGTCTGACCGCTACATATTTCTGTCATATTGATTCAGCTCTCGGCTAACTGCTTCAGTTGCCTATTAGCTCTTTGTGTCAGGAAACACTCTTCATTAACTACTGGTTGTCAAGAATTAGCACATTAGTTCAAAAATGTATGTTATCAAATTGTTATGTGTTTACGTATATTATTTTTTATGAAACAGTGTTTCATTTTTTAAAATCATGGACTTAGGAATATTCAGTGCTGAAAGCTTGGGGGGAAAAGAAAAAAGTGTGTGCTGGGTTATTTGCAAGAGAGGAAGTTTTCCTCATTTGAATCAAGAGTCTAAGAATAGAGGTTGTCATATGCTGTACAAATTGTAAAGACCCCAGAGGCAAACTTGTGATATTGGGCTACACAAATAAAAATTGAATTGACTATCAAGTCAAAATACATAAAAAATGCAAAGAGCTGTTAGTGTTGCTTCATTTTTGACAAAACGGGAGAATACACATTAACAGCTTAATTTATTTTGGATGCACCAGTTCTCTGCTGTTGGTCAGTAGCATAATTCTGTTTGTCAAATAGACCAAAAATAAACGCTTTTTCATCCCACAGTTTTCATCCCCTCCCTTTGCTGTCCCTTCAGTTCAAGGACATGACATGTTTTTAATTGTCAGCCTCTGATTGACTGGCAACTTGTCTATAGTATAGTTCTGGTTACTCGTTTTGGTGATACATACAGGGGATACATGTATCATGAGCATAAATGTTATAGTAATTTGGGGCTTTTAATGATTTCTTTGAATTATTTTTTTTTCTAGGGTGGAAAAATTGTACATCTTACATCTTTATTGACTTTAAAAAACAAAAATCGGGTTTGAATGTCCAAATATATTCAGACCCGATTTTTTTTTTATCTTGGATCTGCAGATGGTCAGAAGCAAACATACAGACTCACATGTATACATACATTCACTTTAATGTTTTTAATGGTGCTAAAGGTTCTACGCTGTCTTTTAACTTGACAAAGCCTGTTAAGTTCTCGTTAGTGATCATGATTGACTACAGCTGGTAGTTTCACATTGTGAGCCTGAATGGATTTGTTTGATAGCACTTTGGATTCACCAGTACACAAAACAATAAGGAAACCTAAGAAACTGAAGGTGTATGCTGCACTATCATTCCATCCTGCGAAAAGAAAAGTGCAAAGAAATCATAAAATCCTGTAAACTGTAAATAGATCTGGAGCACACAGCTATCCCTCTTGACCCCATCTCACATTATCCTGTGTGTTAAACACCTGGTTTTAACACACAGGGATTTATTTCACTCCCAGATGTTTGTAAAGGCTTTTCTGAGAGGCCCTGAAATATGTCTCCACTAATTACTGATTGAAAAAGCAACTACACCTCAAGTTCAGTAATTTGCCCACTGGTGTGTAGGTCTGTTTGAGCACATTCCACCCCTCTCATATTTGTGGTCTGTCTAATCTCCCTGTGTTGGTATTGATGCTGCATCACAAACATGTTTGTCCAGCATCAACATTGCAACTGAACAGGCGTGTGATGTCATAGCTTTGCAATATGGAGGAAAAAGAATAAAAATGCAATTATTTATGTCAACATTATTATGAAGATGAAGGAACAACACCAGCACAGAGATATAAAATCATGCTACATATTTGGGTGAGATGAAAAGATATCAGCTAACACTGCACACATACATATACCTGGTAATTAGTGCTAACACCAGTATAGATGGATAAAATACTACAATTTAGTGGCCAAAACTAAAGCAGAGACTTTCTGGGTGACCTGTGGTGGAAGAAGTCATGCTATTTGTCAGGTTCAGCGACTCTTATTTAGTATCAGTCTACACTCACCTGTCACATGCATAATGAAGTCATGGATTATTAGGCTTGTAACAGATGAGTGCAGATGCACAAATGCATTTTTACTTACTTTGGTAAGTTAAAAGATTCATCTCCCTGACACTTGTGTTGAAGGAGGAAATTTGCTTAGTCTGCACATATGTGCATATGGTACACTTTTTATTATGTGGACATGCATTTAGGTATTTACCATCCATTCATTTTCAGGTTGCCTTACACATTCATCTTTCTTGCAGTGGGCTGCAGATAAACCGGCTTTTCCAGATGCAGCAGGCAATACTGCTACGACTGTCTTCACAAATAAATTCCCCCAACTTTTGGTATATGATGCTGAACTGATTCCACATGGAGAACAGAAACTCTCCAGAGAAAGTGTACCCACCAAACCAAAAGGTTTAAACCCCACACCTTCACTGTGAGGTTCACTGCTTACATCTGCTCTGCAGTGTTCTCAGTAGCCGTGTGCATGACATGTCAAATCTCTGAACTGTGAACTAAGGTCCTGCTTCCATTTTCATGAGGCCATGGTGATGAATAGAGAGGCACACAAGGTGATTTAACTTATACCCCGTGTATTGATCCCTGTGAGATGAAGGCAGTTTCAGATAATGGCCGTGGTCATTCAGGTGAGAGAAAAAGTCATTTATGACGGCTCCTCATCATAATGTACATGAGGAGAAATGATGGTGATGATGAAAACTCGTAACCCTGGTCTTACAGTTGATGCAGTAAAGGTGGATGGCTTCGATGTTGGAGGAAACTGATGATGTGTATGGCGGCGTCCCAGCGGAAGCAAAGGTGATATGAAAGGATAAGAGGACAATAATGCCGAGGATGATGATGGTGAATATGAATTCTGTGTATGTCTGTGTTTCAGGAAGTGGTGCTGAGCAGCCAGCCATCTGTCGGCAGATTAATCCTGGCTGTGCTTAGAGATATTACCGGCTGGCTTATCGCCGTGGCAACAAGCCTTCAATCCCAGTCCAGCACAGCCACCATGTGACCTTGCTGAGGAAGGTGGATGGGGGTTGGTCACACATGCACACACACAAATAGGCTCTCTCTCTCACACACACACACACACACACACACACAGAAACATGCTACATACATGCAGGCATTGTATTTTTTGGATGCACTGTTGCATGTAGTGTGAAAAAAGCACTGCACACATACACGCACCCTGTCCTTTCATCATAAAATCAGGTTTTAATCCTGCTGTCACCTATTGAGTTCAGAAATATCATTACACCAGCCAGCTGTGCTGCACGCAGCTCTTCAAATATTGTTTTCTGCCTGCTATAAATAGACCTGTATAAATATGAATTGTGGCCACCTTTGTTCAGTTTCCTTCACACCACAGAAAGCTTCCCCCCCCTAAATCTCATCATTCCCACGTGGTCACATATCCACCCACTCACGTTTTCTATACACACACACACGCACACACACACACAACACATCGTTCAGAAAACGACCCGATCTGTAACACACAAATGGACGAATACGCTCGCTTATAGGTCATAAATCAGCAGTCTGGATGCCAGTTCAGGCTCGATGTAACATTCAAGGTTTTATTCAGTCTTTACATACAGTACACCAGTCAGAAATATACAGTGAACCTTCAACGAAGGTCCGTCACGTACATTGTAAAATCAGCAGTCAGAAACGACAGGTTCTCCGATCACGGTTACAAGTGTGAGCGTGTTTCAGCGTGTAGTCCATTGTTCATATTTTCAGTCCATGTTTTTTACATCTGGAGATGTCACAGATGACTGCAAAGGTTAAGCTTACAAATGATGATTGCCTAGGGCTGCATTTTTTAAACTATATTCTCTATATTCTATATCTGTTATCCTTTAAATATTGATCACCACTAATGGATGCCAAATATTGGCCATGTTTGACATTGCTCCCCCATTCCCCTAAAACACAACAATTCTGGTTTCATCCCTCTCACTGTAACATCGGTTTAAAGACACAGCGTGGTCTGAGCTCATGAAATGCTGGTCTTAATCAGGAGGATGGAAAATAAGGGAGTGGAACTGATGTTCCACTTGTTCTGCACCTCCTTTTTTCCACCAAATGTAACAACCTGAAGCTTTCCAGGTAGTAATATCACATCAATGGCACTGTGACCACTGCTGTAGGTGGTGGCAGCACTGGTTAAATTCCATCCTGCCTGGATCTACCACTCAGCCTAATTAGATGAAGTAATTATAACTGAGAGGTGCATTCCTGAAACCTGAAATGGGTGTTATGCACCTTGTAGGGTGGCAGCACCAGCATCGCCCAGAGCTCAGAGGAGGAAGAGGGAACATTTTGTTTCACAATAAAATGAAGCTGAACATCTGGTAAAGGAGTTTTATAACTTTCATTTCCATTTAATTAAACTGAGTAAAAAGCTTTTCGTTTGACACAAGTTGTCTAATTTTTAATTTAAATGCAAAAATGATTTTAATGCCTAACTGACGATACTATATTAATCTTGGGCTATGAGTGCACATTGTCCATGCCTAGTTTGAATTTTCTTTTCTGTTTTCCATGACTTTTCAATTTGTACTAAGAAGCCCTTGAATGTGTGAGAGGGGCATTTTTCAAAACTTGCTCAGAGGCCACTACTAGCCCTTAAAATTGGCTACATAATGTGATTAAGTTAATTTAAGGTCTTTCTGGCAGCAGAATAAAGAGTTATGTAGAAGTTCAATGAGCTCTGTGTGAATGAATGAAACAGCTCATTTACAGGCTGCGTTTCCTGAGGAATCAATTTGTTTGCTACTTTTCTGCATTGTAAAGTAAGTGGAGAGTTAGGGAAATGATGTCATCAGGCTGTATGCTTTTGCACACGTGGCCATCTGTTAGTAACAGTCAAGAGAAACGGCTTGATTTTTTTTTAAGGAGACCTGCACTGATCTGTGGTACATTTGTGGGCAGTAGTGTGCTGGACATTAGGGAATGTGGCAATGTATCTGAAATCCAACCTCAGTAGCACCAACAGGTAAACAATCAGGCTTGAGGACAATTTTCATTGTTGGGCTTTACAGTACAAGGTTCGATTGAAAATGGAAGGTATGCTGACATGCATACTGTTTTTATAAAAGCAATCTTTTGTGTATTTGTACTAAAAAAGAGACTGGTGTAAAAGTTCACCAGTTTTCTTTCCTGAATAGGTTGTCCATAGGGAGCTTCACTGAGGATTCAATCATCGAACTCTAAAACACTGGAAACTGTAGGTCAGTTACACTTTGTGCTGGAGGCTAAACCCTGGAATGTTCTGACATCTAAATGGTGCCAGTCTTTTACCTGTACGTTCATATTCCTGTGTACCCTGTGGTTTTTACAGTACAACATTTGAGCGACTGGCTTACAAAGCTCAACTAATTATAAAGATATATATCGGTGTGCAAATTTCTTGAACTAGAAGATTTACCATATGCAGTGGTTTTTCTAGCCTTTTGGAAATTCAAATGGCTAAAATGTAATAGGTAGTTTTAACATCACTGAGTTGGTATACTCTGCCTGGCTCTGTAGTGTCTGAAAACTGGGTAAATTATATACACACTTGGCATCGAGACAAAATAGCTTCATTCCATATTTTGGACTTTAAAAAGCCTTTCTTTTAAGATTCTGTTGAAGAAAACATAGAAACATGCTTACTCTAGCAATTACACATGCATTTAAAATAAACAAAATCTTTGAAAATTAATTAAATTTTGCATATCACTTTGGCAAGGGAGGAAATATAACATATTTTCTGCTAGTCTTATATTTCAGAACTCTACCCTTGATTTTACACATATAGTTGTTTTTTTTGTTCCGTTACATAGAAAAAACATCTTTCTTTTTTTTTTGATATGTCACTGCACGAAAAGAGCAACAGACAACAAAATGAACCCACACGTCAAAAAGAGAAGCAAATAAAAAACCAAAAAAAATAAATTGCATAATTCATTTCACATTGACAAATAGAAAAGCAGACGGTGGAGAGTAGTGGACTGCTGGAAGAACTGAGGCCTGCTTTTACTTTTGGAACGTGATGGACCCACTGACTGGCTGCAAGTCGCTAATGAACTCTGGATAAATGTAAACCGAAGAAAACCAGGACACGTTTATGGCCTTCCACATCCTCACACTGCGTGCATGTTTGTGTTTCTGACCTGAATGAAACCAGACATAACGACAGAATCCAAGAGCTCTAAACTGAGCTCAAACTCCTCTTCCTACTTTTGCATTCGCTTGTTTTCGTAGCAGAATGAGTGTATGTTGAATATGCGTGCACGCCATTCAGTAAAAATAGTCCTCACACCAGCACTGACCTGTGCTCTGCAGGGATTAGATCAGCGCTGTACTGTGCAGTGACTCTTCAGCCAGAGCTGCATATAGTACAGGACATTGGCTTGGCTTTTAAGCTCAAGGTCAGCATTTAAGCTTTCACTAGAAGTACACGCTCACAGTAAGTGAAGGCCAAGAGGTTGCTCAACCCTTAGGCATTCTGGCATGGCCTGTCAGCACATTTGTCCCTCCTAGTCCATGTAGTAAACTTCGCTGATTTCACCGAGTCCCATCGGCATCCTCAGAAGAGACTAAATCTGGGGATAATCACCTGTAAGAATCACAGAGATTATAAAAGTAAGAGTGAATGTAAAAATAGAGCTGCTGCTTAAGCTCAAAGGCCAACTGCAGATCTAGGGCCATTACTTAGCATCATGTCATATCCAGAGTATTTCCACTATAGCTTCAATATCATTTTGTGGCACTGATTTTTCTTTTTAAAATGATCAGTGATCATTTATATGTACTCTGCATGGTTTTTATGACTTAACATAAAATATAAGTTAAAGGCTGACTGTGTAGAAAATACACAAAATACACTGTAGCTCATTAACTCGTTCATAATTACAATTCTGAAAGTTTATCCAAGTCACAAGTTTCTTGTTTCTTGTCTATACAGGAACTTTTCTGTAATTAAATTTTTTATGCATTACTGAAATACTTTCTTGTAGTATGAAGGGCCCATGAAGGTAAAGCTGTAAAACTAATAAAATGCTGTTAAAAGTCCAAAATGTATGCCTTCCTTAAGAATTTCCAAAGCTGTGCAGTGAGGCCGGATTGGAGTCTTTGCCAGTTCTGGCCCCTGGGTCATATGTATGTCATATGAAGCATGTCTCCACTTCGCAGCCATCTTTTAATGCCTTATTTGAGGGTTTATGTCAATCACCTCTAATTCCAGTTGTCACCAGGACATAAAAACAGACTTTACCCCATTAAAAACAAAGCTTTTTTGGCTGTTAGTTATTCTGCCATCTTCTCTTCTCTCATTTTCGGGATGGGGATGAATGCATGTAGCTGTGTGTTTCTTACAGCTTATCTGCCATTTGGTATGTATTTAAAGGATCATATAAGAAAAGTGAGAAAGTTGCATTAGTGCAAGAATGGCCCCTTTTAGAACCAAAGCCCAAATGTCTCAAAGAGAAGCCACTGCACTGTAGAGCTCCGTAGGGGTGATCAGTTTGCAAATGCTCACTTGATGCTCCTAAATGGCGAAAGCACAGAGTGTTGGTCTGTAACAATTACCTGTAAACTGATTATGGCCTCTGCAAAAAGACTTAAACAGACAAATTGTGAGTTTGGCATGAACTGCTATGTTCTTGTGCCCTTGTCTCAGTCACCTGGGCCTCCTCCCCGCAGAGTTACAGGAGGAAATCATGCTGGTGGAACGAAAGTATACCCAACTGTCTCTATATCTGGTTCAGTAGGCACACAGTGTGTTCTCTCCATCTTTTGCATCATAAACTCGTGCATGTCTGTATGTGTCCAGAAATACAATCTTTTTCCCAGCGTGACTTCCTTCAGTCTGCCACTCTTTCACTCGTCTGCAATAATCAAGGTGCAACACTCTCTGTCATCTTTATCTTTTTCTGTTTCTTGCACATCGTTCTCTTTTCTCTCACCATGCATGCATGCTGAAATCCAGTCAGGAAAGAAATGCAAAACGAAAGCCACTGAAATGAAAAAAACAAACAACCTACAACTGTCCCTAGAGAGCAACTACGATCAGTTACACAGCTTGATCATTCAAGAAACACCGCATTGTGTAAACATGCCTTTGTCTAATGGCTCATAGGCCTTAATTACCTGAAGCTGCGCAGCTGATTTTTGAAGAAAATCAAGGCTCTATAAAACACATAAAGGTGTAACTGCATTTTAAATTCAGATAAGTAACAAGAAGTGTTATTCTAAAGAGCTGCAAAAGAAGTTTGAAAAAATCAGCTGCACATCCTCAAAGCATTTTTTTATATCAAAGCTCAGAAATCTCTCCCCTTCCTACACCGTGCATGTCATTAATCAGGACCTACAGTGACAAATGCTTCAAACTCAACTAAAATGAAAAGAAAAGACAGACAGTTTATACATAAAAAGTACAGCAACAAGATTTCCCAATCAACCCGCCCCATAAAGATAAATAAATCTATTTGGATATACTCTAAATGGATAAATAATATTACCATGATATACTCTATGTAACGTTTCAGCAATAATTAAATATCTCAAGGATGGCACCATCGCTTTCTCAAAAGAAGAAAAATCATTATTCATTGTGATGTGTTTTATAAAATCTGTTTAAAGTTGTAGTAAAGCGATCTCTTCTCAAGCTCTTTCGTTATCTTTCGCTCTTCTCTTTTTGTTTCATCTCTTAGCACACGAAAAAGCTGGAGGGAGTGGAGTTTGTGCTTTAGCAGAGACTGACGCTGTCTGGCCGATCATCCGTTTGTTCATTAGTTCCTCTCAGATGTTTACGCAGCAGGAGAGCAGCGAAGGTCACTGCTGTCGTTCGAAAAACCCCTCGGGTCTGTACAGGTCTGTACAGTGGAGCAGAGCAAGAGTAAGGGATAGGGCAGAGAGGGGGGGGAGTGTTTATTGTACTCACTGTGTTTCTGTTAAAATCAACTTTTGCCAAGAGACTAAACATAAACATCGTCAGTCTTGCTCTCTTGGTTTTGGCTTGTAACGGTGTTCCAGCAGAGGCATGACACGCTGTTGGGAGGCAGCGCTTTCTCTCTTGGCGTCGGTCTACCTCAAAATCTCAGGCAGGCAAAGAGAGGAAGCAAAAGAAAAACGTTCTGTCTCCTCCCCCCCTCTCTCTTCCTTGGTTCATATGTTTTCCCAAAGCGTGACGTCTCCCTCCTGTTCTCCCTCACTCTCAAACTTGCCTTCATTCCCCAGAGTCTGTCACGGCTTTGACAGTTCTTCCGTTCCTCTTTTTAATAATGTTGCTGCTGCTCATCCTCCCTGTCCCATCCCCTATCCTGCCCCCCCCCCTCCCATTTTTTTTCACTGAGGCTGACACAGTCCAGAAGAAAAGCACCATGGGATGCATCAAACAACCATGTCGCCTTCGAATATCCCCAGAGAACACAAAACAGCCTCTCATCTGTTTTCCTCCCTCTTCCCCTCTTACTCTCATCTCTAGATCAGCCCCGTGAGGATTTAATTCTCCGCATAAGAAACGAGAAGCAGAGAAGGTCGTTAGTTAAAAAAGACAGAAGTATAAAATGGCAGTTGGACTATCTCCTTATGAGATCAGCATGTCTTTATTATGTATGTTTGCAAAACGAAATTTATTGTCCTCTTTGATCCTCTCTAAATTTCTTCCTTCTCAAGCCTCTGCTGACTTTCAGCGCCGCAGAGCCTGAGGTTTGGTCTTTTTTTTACATTCTGTTTCATTCTGTCATAGAGGAGAGGTCATCTTGTTTGACCTCCACACCATCTTCATTAAATTAAAATCAGAATTCGTTCATTCTCTCTGTTGCACATTCATCCCGCTCCCCCTCTGTTGTCTGTCTTCATCGTCAGACGTAGGCCGATTCGCTGGACTGTGTGCGTCCCAGGTTGGGTGGCTGAGACAGATGCGCCATGTCCTTCTTCCTGATTTCACAGATAGACTTCCTGCGGGCCTGTACGCCCCTGATGGCGGCCTTGATCTTGCGCCAGCCGAGATGATTGAGCTCAGCCAGATTGAGCACCACGCAAATGCCGCTCACAGCAAACATGAAGACCAGGAAAACCGTTTTTTCTGTGGGCCGGGACACGTAGCACTCCACCTCCTTGAGACACGGGTAGCGGTCGCACTCGAAAATCCCAGGCACGCTGAAGCCATAAAGGAAGTACTGGCCCGCTAAGAAGCCAATCTCTAGGGCGTTTCTGAAGACCACCTGAATGATGTAAAAGCGGGAGATCCCTTCTTGACGGCGAACCTTGGAGCTCTTCCCATGCGTGAGGCCTCGTGGGGCATTGGGGATCTCCTTCACCTCCAGACAGTCAGGTTCTTCCTTCCCTCCTCCACTATCCCCTCCGTGCTGAACTAGAATTCCATTTATGTTGCGGAGCTTCCGAGCCCCATCCCTTCCGCCGTAGTCCCTCTCCATTATTGGATAGAGAAAAGAGTAGCGCCGGTCTCTCTGCTTGGCTGACTGATGGACAGAGTAGGTGATAAAGCAGAGGCTGGGTGTGCACACCAGTATGATCTGGAAGACCCAGTAGCGGATGTGGGAAATGGGGAAGGCTTTGTCATAGCAAGCTTGGTTGCAGCCCGGCTGTAAAGTATTACAGATGAACATAGTCTGCTCATCCTCGTACACCGTCTCTCCGACGATGGCCACAATCAGAATACGGAAGATGACAACAACAGTCAGCAAGATCCTAAAAGACAAACAATACAGAGATAAATGGGGTTAATACAATATTTTCTTTTGGAGAATGCACTGAATAACAATACTGTGCATTTCATCTCACCAGTTGTGTTCATCTACAAGAAAACGTCCCTATCAGAAAGGTGATAGAGGTGATGAGGGGATGAGATGTCCTCTCCCTAAAATACATCAGCATCTCTAGCTGGGTTATGGTAACCTCATTCCCTCCACCAGAAGTTATTTGTTTAATGAAATTATGTCCAGTCCTTTGAACAAAATGCTAGCAGGAAGTCAAAGTAACATTAAAGAGAAAACAGATGGCAGCTCACAGAGCTATTGTGACTGACTGGTACCATCATGTTTCTCTTTACTCGCATGTTAGGTGCATGGATACATTTTGCTGTACCATTTAACCCCGATATGAGCAAACTGATAAGAAGAATGTAGCTACATTTATTTTCTGGTCTTAACTAAGGGTTAGCTATCAGGGCTCTCTACTATAGAACCAGCTCCCAGTTTGGATTTGGACTTCCTTTATGATAAATCTTCCCATACTGCTTCTCTTGGTGATTGAACAATTCAATCAACTCTTTTCACTCCCTTGTGTTTATACACCAGTGATTTCATCGTTAGTTATGGAAAAAACTCTTTCTCCCATAGTGTGTCTTTTGTCATATCTTCCTCCGCTCAACCTGAACCAGTCGTGGCAGATGGCTGCCCCTCCTCTGAGGTTTCTTCCCCTTAAAAGGGAGTTTTTCCTTCTCACTCTCACCAAGTGCTTTCTCATAGGAGTTGTATGATTATTGGGGTTACCTTCCAATATTGTAGGGCCTTTGCCTAAAAAGTATAAACTGCCTTAAGAGGACTGTTAGTGTGAATTGGTGATATATAAATATGACTGAATTGAACTGAAGGGTTCAGAACTGTCAATGGCTGACTCATTATTAGGAAAACAAAGCTATAAAGACCAAAGGGCAATAGAAATGACCTTATTAAGGCTACAAAGTTAAGCAAGGTGACTTGACGCTGAAATCAAAGCACGGGCTTTAAGGACGAAAGCCGAAAAGAAAAGGGAAAACCTGTATTAACGAGAGAGAGAGAGAGAGAGAGAGAGAGAGGCATTGTGTCACTGTTAAGTCACTGTTCCTCCGGATAAGAACCAGAGAAGAAGAGTGCTCCAAATGTCATTTATCAGCCAGAGTAAACACTCCAGAAGAAAAACATTTATGTGCAGAGCATTGCTAACGCTACTCGTCAGTCCTCATAAGTCAACCTGCTACCTGTATCTTACAAACAGAGTATGTGTGTTTTGTGAAGAGGGGAAGCAGCGATGACATATCCACATCTAAATTTAGTCTCTCTTTTCTTTGCATCTTTAGGCCCAGCTAGCATAGCAACCACAGTTTAGACTCACTTAAGTTGGAAATGTGATTAATCTTGGTAATATCCAAGCACCATCTCTGTGTTGTTGGCTTTCTTGTTAACAATACACCCTCTTTCCTTTTAGTTCCATAGCAACAGGTGAGAAGGAGGTGAGCTTTGTTTGCAGATTTGGTGCTATTCCTGTGTGTGGTGTGGTGAGACAGAGATTATTGCTCCTGAAATGGGTTCACATCAACTCAGCCTCGGTGTAGGTGTGCCTCGTTATTCGCGTCTATCCGGGCATTTGCTTGCATGTGATGACTTGGCATATCTGTACACTTTGTGAGTCTGTGTGCCTCCATTATGTTAGACACACTTATTAGGTAAACTGGATTCTTATATTCCTCTCTACTTTCTTTCTTGCCAACATCTTTTTCTTTGTTCTGTTCTTACTTTAGGCATCCTTCATTTATTTTTCAGATCTTAGACCGAGCAAGCACTTTAGATAGCAAGCTTTTTGCACGCTCCATGAGCCGATGGCTGTCTGGCACTGTATTCTGCGACCATACTTGTCTAAAACAAGATTGTGCACAGGCTCAGCAATATTGTTAGTGTGTTGATCGATTGTTGCATTACTGTTCAATCCCTTAAATACGAGGTTTGAATTCTGTGTAAGATGTGCTCTCACCAATCACCAATGTTTAGATAAATGAAAGTGTCATAAATAAGAATCGCTGTCGTTGCTTCACATGAACCCAGAGGACACGCCATTCACTGGCTCATCAAAACCTGACCTCATTACATTTATCATGGACTTATGGGTTTTGTGCATGTGCGAGTCATTAGATTTTGACATATAAAAATAGCCATGGAGTTAGTGCTAACAGGCATTACAGTATGATGAATGAAGAGAAGCTCATTCTTGAAAAAGAGCTTCACAACAGACAGTTGGAGTGTTTTGGGTGTAATTTAGACAGCAGTAGTGAATGATACACTTCCCAATTTTACATGTTAGTGTTATTTTTGCCGTTGTGTTTGCATTCATTTAAATATGTTGGTAATATTGCATATATTACATAATGCAAGCCACTAAAAAGGGGGCAAGACTTGAGGCTCCTAGGTGCTGCTCCTTGATCAGAAGAATCCATTTTTAAGCCTAAAACATTATGTATATATACTTTAACAGGTGTCTGACACAAGGAGCTATACCTGTTTGCTCTGTTTGGTCTCATCTCTGATAATGACAGTCACCAAACTGGATTTCTCCACTGTGTTGTGTTTGGAGCATTTTCATAGAATTTCCTGACAAATAATGGGGCTTCCTGTGTGGTAGCCCCATTACTTCATTTTGCAAGTAAAATTTTAGTATTTTTTTATTAGCCTGCACTAATTACCAGATTTGTGTCTGCTTCTGGCAGCCTTACACTTTAAGAATGCAGCTTACTAGTACTTGCTTAGCACTCAACTCTCTTGTCCGATTATTATCCCAGAATGCATCCAAAACCATCAGATGATGCGATGGTGGCTATATACATCTTTTAGACACAGCCAGTGTTACTATAATACATCACTATTTGTTCATTGCTGATCCATTTATCAAATCAGTTTCTGTTTAACAGTAAAATCTAACTTTTGTGAAACAAAACAGTTTCAGCATTTCATCAACTCAGTATGTAAAAGGTAAAGTACAAAGCTTTCTCAGATTTATCATATCAATTAGAGGATTTGTTTATCTGGACACTGTTGGGACTGGACTGTGAATCCAGGGGGAGACCCATGGTGCTGCACCTGAGACCCTGCCAGATAATCATTAGATGGCATTTGGCTGTGTGAACGGTAATCTACCAATCGCACAGTGGCTTCGCCAGTCTTGCGTGGCGCAGATGTGGAGTTGAAGGGCAGAGTTAATCCTTTCCAGAGTCCAGCGGCATGCAGTTCACATGTAACTCCTATCAAAACGACAGGTCACCAGTGATGGCTTCCAAAATGAAAAATAAAAGACTCACTGCCAATCCTTTCACCTGTGATCAGCAGCAGGGAGAGAGGAATGTCGGAGCAAGGGGGAAAGGAATAGATGCAAAAAAAACCAAAAATAATAAGCGATTCCATTAAGGAGCTTAGTAAGCAGGGAATTCACAATACAATGGTGGAGAGTGTATAGCAGTAATTGTGTGCACACAAACACACATATACTGTAGCAGAGGAACGTCCAAACGGGGACGGGAAACTGTTGAGTGAGCGCTAACAGAAGACATCAGCTTTCTGTTGAAGATGAATGAGTTCCAGACAGGGATAAAAGATTATAAAGTCACCAAAAACGCAGTGGCTCAGACATCTTCAACTTAAATTAAAAGAGGTATGTGCCAGTAGTGTGACGGCGTGCGAGAGATAGAGAGGGGTTAGTAAAGAAAACCAGCAATGGAGGAAAATCTCATCGTAGAGAATGAATTATATAATAGCTTCCACACGCAAACCCAGTTCTGTAATCTGTGGCTGGGCCAAGGGAGGATTCTTCCATTAGGGGTCTTTTTGTTAATGCCATCGAATAGCTTTAGATTATCGTACCGCACAGAGCAAACCCCACCTGTTTTTTTCCCTCTCCTTTTCAGAGCATTATTCTTTCTTTTCTTGGTTTTATTCACTCTTCATGCAGCTTTGGGCCCCCATTTATCTCCCTTGCACCACAACAGCAGTCGTCGGACTCCTATGAGGAATAATCCGGAATAATCTTAAAATTGTGTCTGTAGTTTTCTATGTAAAGCCTTGATTCACAAGTGATTCCCACAAAAAAAAAAAAAATGAAATTCCACAGAGTAAACTTCCTTCTTATCTCATGTGGAGAAATGTGCAGATTCACATTAACATGCACAATTAAAATGAAGCAAAGATTTTTACAAAAAAGTTGAAATCAGCTTCATTTACATGATTTTTGTGTTGCTTTATCACTGAGTGTCTAGCCAGTGAGCATATTTATACATCGGGTAATTTATAAATATGCTTGAACGATATTACAGACACGTTTCTCAGCACACTCACACCCTCGGTTCCCAGCAGACAGTGTTTGTTGTTCCTTTTGACTAATTTATTGGTGATTATGCAAAAACATTACACCAACTCCAAAACGCCTCCTCTCCTCCAGCAACTGCGAGTCCCTGACCCGCCATCTTTTTTTTTCTCTTTCTCATTATCTGACAATAGAGCTCTAGCACTAAAGGGGTGGTTGTATGTTTTGAAAGCTCTCATTACATGCAGTTAATTGTAAAAAAATTGATGTAATGTACAATAGCATGAAAAAAATTATAGCTCTGGCATGTGACTGGAGAAATCTTGTTCCATCTGTTTCTCCATATGTATGCAGACATACATGAACACAAACACACGCAATGCTGCTGCTGCCCTGGTAATCAACACTATTCAACTTTCAGAGAAATTAAAATGCAATTCACAGTGCAGCCTCCGTGGTATTAGAAATGAAATCTTTAATCTATCTTTAATGTCAGTCTTTTCCAATTAAACTTTCCTGAAAAATGATAGAAATCGAGGTGATGTGGGAGTTGTTTCTCATTATGCGCTGGAGCTGAGTTTCAGATAATAATGAGGCATAGCAGATGAACAAATGTAGATCTCTGTGTTATGATGTTTGTGGAA